CCACAGCCCCCTGCTAGGCCAGCTCTGCCCTGCCCCCCTCCCGCCACGCTCTGCCTGGTGCCCCCACTGCTGACCCACAGCCCCCTGCTAGGCCAGCTCTGCCCTGCCCCCCTCCCGCCACGCTCTGCCTGGTGCCCCCACTGCTGACCCACAGCCCCCTGCTAGGCCAGCTCTGCCCTGCCCCCTCCCCCCACGCTCTGCCTGGTGCCCCCACTGCTGACCTGCAGCCCCCAGCCCTGGGCTTCCCCCCTCCCCCAAGCTGTGCCCCGTGCCTCAGAGGAGTGCAGCCGGACAGGCAGATGGCCAAAGGGGGTCTGAGGCTCTGTGCTGCTCCTGGTTTTACAGTAAGTTGGTGAAAGGAAGCAACTGAGGGGTGAAAGTCAATTTTGGGGCATCCAGGCCCTAAGTGTGGGGGAGGCCGAAGGCCCAGCACAGCTCCTGCCCCCACCAGCAGGGGGTGGCAGCGCCTGGGCGGGGGGGGTCTCCTCTGATCTCCCTGCAGGGGGCTGCGTGGGAGCTGTCAGGGCAGGACCTGTTCCGGGCTCTGCCTCTAAATGTTGAGCTGTTCCCACAGTGCAGAGCCAGGCAGGGCAGCCAGGGCTGGCACTGGGCCCCAGATTCCTGCCCGGGCATCACGCGAGTCCCATTGTGCTTCCCCAAGGGACTGGCACCAGCCCCACTCCCCCTGCAGCAAAGGGGCCTCAAGCAGGCAGCCAAGAGCCACTGAGGAGGGGCAAAGACTGGCCAGCGGCTTCCATTGAATGGCTGCATGGGCAGGGATGGCGTGCCCGGCGCTGGGATGCAGCCACCTCTGGTGGAGCAGCTGGGAAACAGCTGCACATAATGCCGCAAAAGTTCAGGCCAGGAAGTGAGGAATCCAGCTGCAGCTGATGGGGATTTGCACAAGCTGCAGTTTAGACGTGACACAGATACACTGCCTGGGGCAATCCGTCTTCAGTGTCCCCACAGCACAGCGCCCCTTACTGAACCCCCTGCCCCACTCCCCGCAGCCCAGTGTCCTCTGCTAACCCCCTGCCCCGCTCCCCGCAGCCCAGTGTCCTCTGCTAACCCCC